AGAACAAGATTAAAAGGACCGTAATTGTTTTAATTTACTTTACTAAAAAATTTATTTCGGAACGCAACGAACGAGTTGAATTGACTTTTAAATTTTATATGAAGTAGGTACACAATATTCGCTTTAGACGGTTACATTTTTTTTTCTAAAAGGTTATTTTATCCCCATTCGACGAGAGACAAAGGTTGGACAAAAGTATGAAAATTTATCTGCAAATTTGTATTTCATATATCTAACTCATTTAGTTTCAAAGAAATCGTGTATAAGGGTTCGGCTTTATTGGAGCCTAAAAAATAATCCTTCTAGTAAGGGAAACACCTGGAAAGCTATCGGGATCGTCTTGGGAAAGAAATGACCGGCGATTTTTCAGCACGTCACTCGCAATCATAAAACCTAACAGCGATGGAAACAAATTAGTCGAAATGAATCATATTGTAACTCACGTGAACGAGGAAGGAAATTGTGTGCACTTCCGCTCGATTCCACCGACTTTATTAATGATTAGAATAGCGGATACTTCGGGGACGTTCCAGGTCCGGTGTTGCACTGAATCACTCTGGCGTTTAACCTCCCATTAAATGTTATGATGTTGTTGTTGCGGGTTGAGTAGCTTTTTATTTGGCGTGTCTAAATATCCTTCCCTGTATTTCCCTCGCGTATTTTTTTATTTACTCTCGAAAAATTGGGCTGAATGCGATCCTGCGAATTGACTATAAATGCCATGGGGTAGCAATTAATGTAAAAGTAGCACGCTGGTTTAGATATACTTGTGTATAAAACACGACTGAAAATAATGCACTTCCTTTTAGTCAGTTTTGTGCCGGTGCATTTTGCATTTAATCGACTTTTACGAATAGGCGCTGCTGTGATAAAAATACATCCGTTAGACGTTTATCGATGTTTATACGATGCGTTATTGTATAGTATAAAATTGGAAATTTAATTGTACGTTATGAGGAAAAAACATTAATGCAGTATGTAAAAAATGTCCGCGAAAAGTAAGTGCAATAATTAAAACTAATGTACGAGTATGTGGTGGAGTTTTTTTTTGGTGTTGCTGCGTATGCAATAAAAAGTGATGAAATATACCGAACGAAAAAATTGTATATTCTGAATATGTGCTGCTATTTTCCCTCTCGCCTAAAATTCAACAGTTTGAAATATTAACAAGGTCACAGAGCAAAGCCCTAATCCTAACAACAGTACGATATTAAAAATATATAACACCGTTTTTATGAAGCTTTTTATATGGAAGCTTTCCTGAATATATATAAAGATGAAAAATTGCTTTATCCTCTTTTGCATTTTTTTTATTTCGGTCGCCCAACAAAAACGAACAGATATCATTTATTCCCTTTTATTTATGCCTACATTATATTTCAAACGAGCCCAAATATAAAATAGTTGAGAAGTTAAACAGTTGAGAACTTCAGTAGCTGATTAATTGATAGTTAATTAGTTTGAATGAAATTGATTAGTTGAGAAGTAACATTGTTGAGAAATCGCCTAGTTAAGCAGTTAATTTGTGGAGAAACTGTTAAGTTGAGAATATTTTTTTTACATCATTCATCCAGTGTTCGTTATGAAGGACTTGGTTTTTTTTCCTTTTGCTTCGCATTGTGTGAAAGATAGCAGATAATTTATTAATTCAATTAAACAACTTCGGGTGGCGTTGATGGTGATCAAAATTGCGTCTGGAAACGGGCGCGCATTCCGAACTTTACGCTCGACGAAATTTTCCGTCTAAAATTACCCGAGTAAATTATCCTCGAAATTGTTTGTCTCGAAAATAGATACTCGAATGGTCTATCTTTGCGCCGGGTTCGATTTAATAACGTATCAAAATTGTATGTGGGGGTAGTTATTTTGATTATATGTGGGGGTTTGCATGCTAATGACATCCTCTTATACCGGCTTTATTTCGTAAATATCGACTTATTTACTTTTAATCAAAAAGCAAGAATGAATGTCGTTGGAAAAAAATTTAATATAATTCGTATTCGAATTATACCAACTTGTTAATCTCCTCTTTCGTTCCGTTTTCTTCGAATGGAACTTTCTAATTGATTTAATTAAAGGAATTTTATAAACGAATTAGGAATTTCCAGGTAGACGCTCCTACTTTGTGTTTGTTAACTTAGAAACTGCGGTAATCCCATTCGCAAAAACGAATGCCGAACGAACCGGCAGAAAAGTTTCCGGGAAGTTTCTCCTTCGCCGTTCCACGTGTGACTCTTATTTCCCCGGCAACTCCGATCCCGGAATTGATTCGTTCGAAATCCGCTCTCATTGTTCGCCTGAATATTCGCCCGAATATTCGCCGAAATATTCACCAACACTTAGTTAATTACCGCAAGTTTGTATCAGCTGCAGCAGTTAGTCATCGATACATTAAACTCCATTCGACCGACAGTCGCGCATTCGTATTGTTTACAACTTCGTAATTAATCGTTCAGAATTCGGCGAGAACGCCGAACTTTCCTTCGATAAGTTACTGCGACTCACCTACAAGTGTTCCTTCGTTAATTTCTAGTTATCGGATTCGATCCAAGGCCGAAGAAAACTGAAATTCCCCAGGGATTTTCGTTCTTCTTCTAGTATCTTCCACGAGAGTGTTTTCGAACATTCTCCTCCATTCTTCTTCTAGAAGAATCTTTTCAATTTCATCACCATTCTCCATCAGTATCTTTAACGATTCTTCCTATGTTATCATTATCTCTTTCAGTATCTTCAGATACAAGTTCACTAATCCTTTTAAACCTTCTTTAAGTCCTTATATCCAGGTAGTGATGGTTCAAATACTGCTATATTTCTTATCAATGTCAACAGTTTATCAATCGCAACATCTTCTCCTTTTGGACTGTTCATTTAATAAACCATTTAAGTGGCTATAGAGCGAATCTTCGATGGGATTTGTGGCGCTACTGGGGGACGTCGCCCGGTTGGGTCGATGAAATACCGCCCGGTGTCGGGCAACAGATGAAACGGACAATTCGAGGATGAGTTATGGCTGTGTTTACGTTCGCGGTAAACCGAAATCAAATTTACTGTTTAGCCGTAAGACGTTCGGAAAGGGGCTTATTGTTTTCCTCGAGATTAGCCGATGAGTTAAAGCGCGATGGAATTGAAGGAACAATAACTTCGGGTGCGATAAAAACGTCGTCGGGACGAGGGAGAAATCAGGAGTAATGCGGTTGTCCTGTCGAGCAGGAGAGTCAAATTTTTAATAGGTTTTTGTTCTTGCTGTTTACGGGAAACGTGAGTACCAATTCCCGCGTCGCGAGCAGCAGGAGAAAATCCTCTTAGCTGGTGGAATGAATGTATGAAGGACTCGAAAAAAAAAATTCAATTAGCATACGTCGAGAGCTCATTTGTGTAGGCCGATGTCGAGGGATTTAATTCGGAGTTTTTATTTTCCTCCTGTCCGTACGAAACGGAAATAGCCGTATTATTATTAACTCTTTTCGGTGCCAGTTTCGTAGCTGGTTTTTGAAATGTCGCAAAAAGCGGGGGTTGGTTTTTTAATTACCCCCGGTTAATTGGAAGTCGTCAACGAAATATAATTAACCGCCGATTATTAATTGAAATGTATTTTTTTAGAATGAGGCGTTCGAGTGCGGGTAGATTGCACGACAAGTCTATCAAGTTAATCCCCGATTTTATCGGGAACGTGTACCAAATTAATCCGTCGATCTAATCACAATCGCCTTGTCGGAGGAGAGGCGGAAAAAACGGAATCCTATTTATTTGCGAAAATAACTCAATTTCGAACAATTAATTTCTGACTGGAACTAATTACAAGTGCCAGCTACAGATTGATAATTTAATCGCGAATTAAGTGCCGCTCTTGAAATTTTAATTAACGATTTAAGGATGAAATTAAAGTGATATGAAAATGATGTTGAATGGATTTTTCAGAGTGTGATCTAATGAGATTTATCGCTCGAAGGAAACCGGTGAAAAACCCAAAAGGGAACTAGACAGAAAAAGCCCCCCTGCTTTTCCAGCGAATCTTTCGCAAAAAAATCTAGCCAAGTCTCTCGAAGAGAGAAAACCAAATTATTAAACACTTATTTCAGAAAATTAATTAGCGGAGAGGGATCACAAAAGTACTTACTAATACGGAGTATTTTACTTCGGATATAAATTTAATAAGGGATCTTAGGGCGGCTGTTTGAGAAGGGATTCCAGAAAGATAGGAAAAATTTCCAAGCGAAGGCTACGGCGTTTTAAAAAAATTAGTGGCGCTTTTAATAATCCCTTTAATTTGAAACGTGCGGTGATTGCGGAATAACGATTCCTGGGATGAGGACCGGGCTAAAAACGGCGTTGAAAGTATAGACACGAAAAAAGAAAGTGGGTCTTCCCGAATGTTCATCGAGCGCAAAAGGAGAGAAAGTGCCGGGGAAGAGAATAAATCCCAAAAAAACAATACAGGGAAAAAAACGGAAGGAGCCGTTAGATTTCTGATTGTGAATTTCGTCTTAAGTAATTAAGTTTTCGGAAGTTTGCATTGTTATATTTTATTATTATTTTTTTATTAAAAAAATCCAGCCCTTTTGTAGCGAGACAATGTACTTTGTTGAATTTATCGCTTTTATTCATCGCGAAATTTAAAGATTCGGGTAATTAAAATCGGGCTATTGTTAAAAGAAGCTGGAAGGGGTTTTATCAACGTCTTTAACGAAGTTGATTTTTCTTACTTACTTGGACCATTAAATTTTGTACACCATGGCCCAAAATAATGAAGCTACAATTTTTATACAATTGATATAAATGATAGAACAAGTATAATAGGAAAGAATAAGAAAATTTGTGAATCATTAAGGGTGGTTTTCGTACTTATCTCTCACCGGAATTCCACACCGAATTAAGTACGTTAATCTGAAAACATTATTTTTTAAAGGAATACAATAAATTATTTAAATTTTTTTATTATCAACACCTCCATAAATTCAACAACAACCAAAACAATCAACGAAACATCATGAAGACCATCCCTAATGATGGCCGGACTTGAACCCGTGCGACGAGTGCCCCTCGTGTCCGCCCTTCTTCCCGAAGTCCGAGTGGTGCGAGTGGTGACTCTCGTGACCGCCGTGCCCTTTCCATCCCTTGTGGTCCTCGTCGTGGTGCCCCTTGTGCGCGAATCCCTTCTTGCCGTAGTGGTCCTCGTGGTGGCCGCTCTTGTGCGAGCCGCCCTTCTTGTGGTGGCCGGCCTTCGAGCCGTGGTGGCCGTGATGGTGGCCGTACTTCTCGTGGTGGCCGCCCTTGTGGGCGTCGTCGTAGAACTTGTGCTTCTTGTGGTACTCGTCCTTGTGCTCCTTGACGTGGTACCCTTTGGTCTTCTGGCCCTTCTTGTGGCCCTTCTTCTCGCCGAACTTGCCGCCTTTGTGGTGGTGGCCGGAGGCGTGGTGGCTGCCGTGGTGGCCGCCGGATTCGTGGTGGGACTTGTGGTGGCCGCCTTTCTCGCCGTGGTGGGCGGCCTCGTGGTGCTTGCCGTGCTTACCGTGGTGGCCTTTGTCGTGGTGATGGTGGCTGTGGTAGCCTTTGTCGCCTTTGCCGCCGTGGCTCGAGTGGTGGTGCTCGTGTCCTTCGTGTCCTCCGCCGGATTCGTGGTGGTGGCCGTGGTGGGAAGCCGATACCTCCAGGTCGAGGGTTTCTAACGCACTGGCATCTTCTTCGTCGCCTTTAAGGGCGTTTCCTTGGGCTAGGGCGATTAGGAAGGCGATGCCTAAAATCGCTGTTGGTAGTAGTTTCATTGTTGTTGCTTTGAAGCTCCGAATTGTACTGATTATACACCGGCTCGCGGTGTTATTTATATGGTTCAAGCGGTTACTTAAATTATACGGACCATTGGTTGGAAAACAATCAAATTGGTAATGTAGACACTTTTTCCTCTTAGTGTTAGTTTACTAACATTTGTGCAATTTTATGTAAGTCATAATTTCAATGCGATTACAGCAATTATTACTACACCGAACAAATTCGAGTACTTGGGCGAATGGATCGAATTCAATGTTAACCGGAAAACGGCATTGACGCGGAAAAAAATGCCGCTTTCGCGTGAAGTTTGGCTCGAAAAAAGGCGCGGAAAAAGCATCCAACTTCCCCGACAATGCTCGAGCGGGAGCGGCGCATTCGCGTATACACATCTATCATGTTAACAAATTGGAAAATCAACACGTCCTCGAAGAACTCCAACTTTTCAAACTAACTAATGGAGAAACATAAATATTTCCACGGCAATTGTTTTCGACTTTCGCGTAGGAATCAATGAGATGGATTCGGGGGCAAAGAGAACACTTAGTTTTGCGGGTGAGTTTTATTCGGATTCCTTTAAGGGTTGGAGCATTGTTGAATAAGAAATTGCTCACATATTTTTATTTCATTCTTCTAATACACGCTTCTTATTTTATTTCACGAAATTTCTTTTAATATCACCCTCGGTACTGATGTAGCGGGTTAATCTGAAGCGTATCAGCGCGTTTTTTAATTCGAAAATTTTTAAATTGTCGCATAAGTTCGGGGACGTGTCGTATTAATTTCGGTTTATTCGGCTTCTGCCGGGCATTATTTTTCGGTTTTTGGCCCCCAAACGAGGTTGTGTAATTCCTGCGGAACGGCAAGATAAAGATTCATTTTTGTCCGGGGGCTTTGTCGTTCGGGGAATAACCTAATGGAAGGGTTATTTATATGTAAATAGAAGTTTTTCGAAATGCTTTTTGGCGCGCTTAAATAAAACGCTCCTCTACGATTGGTCGAAATAAAACGGGATCATCTCATTAATATATACAGAGTGCGCTAAAAATTTTATTTCTCACTTGGCGATAAATTTAAATTTAAAATTACAACATAATATTGTGGTAATTGTTATCAAAGTGCTACATTTATTTTTATTAAAAGGATAATAATAACAAATTAGTACAGTTTGCATTAATAATTATTCTTTATTATTTAATATTATTAACCTTGTAACATGCATCTCGTCCGAACAAATCGATTAAGTACAATTTGAATACATATTTTTGAAAAATATTCTGATCCTATAAATGTATCAATAATTACAGTACAAAAATAGGTTATTTTATCACAAGTTAAGTCAGTGAACTTTTTCATTATTTCACGTAACACTGTGTCGCTATCAATACAAAGGCGATTATCTATTTTTTCCCGTTGAAATTACAAAATATTCTCCTCACTATCGAGTAAAAGTCCGTTCCAATGATTTGACGTCCATTGGATTAGAAAAATCAATTATACGATGCATTTTACACGGATTTATACAAATTTAATAATGTCGCAAGTCGCGTTTCGTTGCGATCGATAAACAATTTCAAGTATTTTTTCCTTCAATTTTCTCTCTGGTAATAAAAGACACATCTTACAGAAATTATCATGTATATTTACAACGCGTCGACAATTCAACAGATCACAATAACACAACAGTTTTTGCATATTTAACATAAAATTCAGTCCGACTCCAACAAACGAACACCGCTAGATAATAAATCATTAATTTAATGTTTTCCGCTCTTGAAACCGTACTCTTTGCCCCCCTTGTGCGCCTCCTTCTTGCCGAAATTCGAGTGGTGCGAATGGTGGCTTTCGTGACCTCCATGTCCTTGAAAAAAAAAGTTAATACATCAAATTAATTAATTATTTTCTTTTTCAGGTGAGTCGAGTTGTCCACCTGATATTAGTAAGTATACTGTAGGGAGGGTTAGATATAAAACGCCACCTTTATGTCCTTTGTGGTCCTCGTCGTAATGCCCCTTATCGGAATGGCCCTTTTTGCCGTGGTGATCGTCGTGGTAGCCGCTCTTGTGGCCGCCGCCCTTCTTGTGGTGGCCGGACTTGCCGCCGTGGTGCCCGTGGAAGTCGCCGTGCTTCTCGTGGTGCCCGCCCTTGTGGTAGTCGTCGTAGAACTTGTGCTCCTTGTGGTAGTCGTCCTTGTGCGACTTGTGATGGTAGCCGGTCGTTTTCTGGCCCTTCTTGTGGCCCTTCTTCTCGCCGAACTTGCCGCCCTTGTGCTTCTTGCCGCTGGCGTGGTGCTCGCCGTGGTGGCCGGCCTCGTCGTGGTGCTTCTTGTGGTGGCCGCCTTTCTCTTCGTGGTGGCCGGCGGAGTGGTGTTTGCCGTGCTTGCCGTGCTCGCCTTTGTCGTGGTGATGGTCGCTTTTGTAGCCCTTGTCGCCCTTGTCGCCGTGGCTCTCGTGGTGGTGAGCGTGGTGCTCGTGGCCGCCGCCTTCTTCGTGGTGATGGCCGTGTTTCGATTCCGAAACGTCGAGGTCGACTAGGGCGCCATCTACTGTATCGTCTGTGATTATCCTGCAGGTGCCTGTGGAGTTAATGGGGGTTAGTTTGGGGGGGTTGGGTTGGGGTTGGGGGTTTTACGAACCGAAATTGGCGACGAGGAATAACCCCGCGCAGAGCACTAGAAGTCGCATGGTTACCAACTGATCGGTTTAGGTTTTTGGGTTGAATTTATATTGTATTGTAGTTCCTACTGTTATATCATTGGGGTTTCTGGTAGAATAGTTTCGGATGGTTTTTAGTCGAAATCTATCGAGATCTGATTTTTTGTTGCTATACTGTTTTATATAACCAAGCTTTCACTCACATTTCGAACGGTTTAAAGGTTGATTGCTCATTTGTAATTAAATTATTGATAGAAAAATAATTTCAATTTATCGTGCTGTATTTTTTTAAAAAGAGATTTATGCCAGCATATTAAAATAAAACTCGGGAATTACGAAATTTAACCAGCATTATTCGTTCAGGTTACACCCCAAAATAACCAGGTATAGAAGGGACATTTTTTCGGTTTAACTTTTTTTTCAATTTGTTAAAAAATGTACTTTTTATCTTACTTACCTGAGCTTAATATTTTATCGCCGTGTCACCGTATTTACATAAAAAAGAGTAAGCCGCAGGCGATTCGGAAAACACTGTGGAAAAAGTAATTTCAAAGTTTATTTTCCATCAAGGGACGCGGGCACTTTTTGCGACAACTTTCCGCACCAGAAACAATTAACTTTGACAAACTGAATTGTTGAAAAAAAATTAGTTTAAATAAATAATTAGTAGGCATAACAATTGGAAAAATTGCAGGACTCTTGTAATGTAATGAAACCTAAATAATAATGGAAAATGTCGAGAAGTGGATATTTTTTTAGGTGTTGGTACACAAGTTTTATATTGAAGTCAAGTTTACTTGTGACATATTTGTAGTGTTATTTTTGTGTGAATAAATATGTAAGGAAACTTCTCTTTCATACCGGAAAAAAATGAATTTCTTTCGATCCCAATAAATATTCCGGGAAAATATGAATTTAAAAAAAGCAATAGCAACAAGAAAAACTTTCCCGATATTATGAATTCTTCAGGTGAAAGCCATTACCAATCCGACCGACACTCCCGCCAACCGAACGACTTCTTTTCGAAAAAAGAGAAAATCCTCGAGTCGAGTTTGTTCGGGGCTCCCGGTTATTTTCGCTCGACTCTTTTTTTAGCCGTCGCCGGCAACTCTTTCATCTTTCCAATTTCACAATTTGCACACTGATACCTTTTCCTAACTTTTTGATCGGTTGCTGAATTTAGAATTTATATTCGATATTGACTTTTTCATTACGATGGCTGGAATAGAGCCGACGGTGCTTCTGAACTCCCCCGATGACTATCTCAAATATTTACAATTTTCGGTATACTATCTGCTACGTAGTATACTCGGGGCTTGCATAAAATTTTCTTTATACGAGATGGTTTTCCGCAAATAACGCATATATCTCTATACACCGGTACATTTTGAATACCTATTTTATTTTGGATGAACAAACATTACATTTACTCCTACATATAGACAATTCCTTGAATTTACGGTTAATTCCTGTCTAATTTTTCATCTACAATAACTCGAAATGTATATATTATGTTGAATATTAGTAGCATATAGGACGGCTTATACGTAGTTAGAGAATTTAATGAATATTGATGCTTGTTTAACGCGTAGCGATTTTCTTTGTAAGTTCACCTAACGAGACAAATAGCTCGGGTGCTCCTTTTACGAAACACAACGCGCCCCGTTTCTGTTTTGATGTTCAAGTAATTACCGTACAAGTCAATTTAAACTATTACCGCACGACGAAAGGAAACAAAATAGAACACGACGCGAACAGAATTAGCACTTCACATCAAATAGCTTCCTGAATAAATGATATTCCCCGTCGTTCCGGCAGCAAAGGATACCCATAAGGAAACTTAACATGCGAAAGGAGAGAAGGGGATACGCCGAATTATCCTCGCCAAAGGAAAACGGCTTTGTGTTATTTCGGATTATAATTATTGTATGGCAAAATCGATACAAAAGCACCCGCTACTTAACGGCAATGTCAATACAATATCTGCTTACAGTCTGCAATAGCTGAAAACATCAATAATTAATCTTCAGCTATTTCTATCGTAGTGTGCATTATCAAATTAACTATTAACTAATTAATTTTTAGCGTTATAAAAATATTAATAACGACATCCACAGCTGTTTATGTTGGTAATTCGAATAAAAACACAACTCGGGATTGCGACCGAACGAGAAAATATAATTTATATTGCGCTATAATAATTTAAAACGTTTGGTTTGCGTGTCGTTTCGTAAGAATATTACAATACCCTTATCAGATTTTAGGCGTGTTCTCATTATAATGTCAAGTGAAATATGTAAATTCTTCTAATACTCTAAATATACAGTATTTAATGTCATTATGTCAAACGTACATGCTCGCTAATAAATCGACCCCGAAATGAAAATATCCCCCCTTTTTAAGGGACATATTGCGAATTGCAAAGCAACCCCCGTCCAATTCGTAATTATACCGCAAACGCGAAATGCGCGCATTTTATGACCTGCTGATTCTCGAATGGTAGGGAAAACGACAGAACAATATACGATGGCGGGATAACTAAAAACAGAAACCTACGAAATGCTGCTAGAAGATTTGACACGCCCGCATACAGTGCTGCTCGTAATCGTAAACATTTTTATAGCTTCTTGAATAAGCTAATTTTCATTTCACATCAGCGGTAACAGCGTAGATATTTCCTAGGGTTTCATACAAGATTTCTATGTTTCGGTTTTCGGTTTTCCAATAAAACTATCCTTTAAAAATCACTGTTGCAATAATGTCAGTTGTCTGTTGTCGCGCTCGTCAGTTACCGTTTGTCAGAAAATTACCCTACAAACGTACGTCAATTGGAATACAAAAAAACTATGGAAATCACGAAACCATAAAATATATTCCCGAGTGGATTCGAAAACGGTCCAGAAAATCCTTCCGATACGTTCCAATTGACCGATTTCCAGAAATCCCCGGACGCTTATTGATTTCACTTATTCATACAACTTTATTTTCGGCGAAGCAGTACATCTCGATATGTTTTCTCGGGCGCCGGATTCTCCAAAGGATCCCTTTGACTTCGAACATTACATATTCAAAACGCGGAGTCTCCGGAGATGGGTGGGTCGCTTTCGCAGCAACCGGACCTTTCCCAGTCGATTTTAAACGATAAGAAACAATACCTGCTCTATTATTGCTTTTCCACAATAGCTGAAATTGCTAACAATTTTTTTTATTATTATCTCTTTGATGTGATGTTAGCTTGTATTTATTTTTTGTACTGTTTCAAATTGTAGCATATGGTGGAGTGTAATAAAACTGGTTAGTTCAAAACGAACAGAAATTGAATTGATAGCCCACAAGACAAGTTTAATTTTAAAAATTGTACCCAAATTGAAAATCCGTTTTATTAGCTAGGAAAAAAAACCGATATGACAAAAAAGCGAACAAGTAAAATCCGATAAATTCGAGCGGATATTCAAAACAACTGTTAAAAATGAAACCAATCAAATCCGGAATTGTTTTTGTTGATAGATATGCCTGATATGTAAAATTGTAATTGATTTTTAATACGCCCGACGGCGATTTTTGCTCGAAACTTTCAGCAAACATTTTCATCCTGGCCCCAACGAAAACGTAAAGTTAACGTTACCGTCGTAAAGCGAGAGTACAAGTCGTTGAATCAACAACAATAAGATAATATAACAGCGTTATCGGTCAATACAAAACGCATTCAACTCGGCTAAAAACTGATTACTGAACTGTTTTATTCGAGTTTATCTTCGAATTACTACCGTTCCGGAACGAGGCCTCGTAATAATCTATAAATTTTATTTATCGAAATCGAAACGATGTCATCGTAAATGGTTAATGAAGTAAACTTGAAAGTAATTTCCAATATTTCATTGAGCGAGTGTCGAAATGGACAATGAAATTTCATATAATGAGCGGCATTACGATAAAAACTCCCTTTAATAGGTGTTATTAGTTCGGAATATTTAGGCTTTGCGGAGAGGACGATTGATTTAATTACACTAATGGAATTTAAAGTTTATCGGAAATGTATTACTATTTAATGGAACAATATTTTTATAATTAAAATGGTTTTGTGGGGGATTTAAAGTTAATTTGGGGTAATTATATATTCACATAAAAATGCTAATTTTATCACAAGAAGACAGTACTGTGTGTTTACACAGTAGATAAAAAAATTTATGAAACACAATTAAGGGGATTTACACAATTTTTTCGATTCCAAATTTAATAGACATATTTTTAATTAGTCGAAATTATTTTTTTTGTTCCGTTCCAAACTCGAATTAAACTAATTTCTTTCAATTATAGACACAATTTATTAAAAGAAGAAACACAAAAAGCCTCTTAATTAAGAGCCCGGCGCAGAACCGTATCGAAAAATTTGTCGCGCCCCGAAACAAATTAACTCGCTTAGGGAAAAAATTAGATGTAATTTTCTCGGATCGAACTCCAATTGGGGCTAATCTAATGGAGGACATTCGACTGGTAGGAGAGAAAAAAAAACCGTTCCGTTTCGCCGTTTCGGTTTCGGTAAAGAGATTAATTAGAAGCTTTTTAGCATGCAAACCGCATTAACGTTTTCCCTTTGCCCTTTTTATTTATACAAAACAGTCCGACCCTGCGCGGCCGAGCCGGCGCTATTTTACGACTTTAACGAAGCATGTCATGGCGACATTTCCATATAAAACGCGCCACCGACGAGTCGCAGGACCGATTTTCATTTTAAAAGAAAATTCATTACTCGAATTCGCCCGGGGGGGATGAATTAACCGAAGGAATCAAACAACAGAAACGAGTTTCCGCGCGCCGCGGAATTCTTCAAAACCGCCGGCGAAGTAATTGCTCGGGGAAAACCCGAAAAATTACTTCTCTAATCTCTATTAACTAATCCCACTTCTGTTCAATTTATCCTGGTTTTTTTCTGTTTGCTCGACAACTCTATATTCATTGATCCAACGTGTAATTTATTATAGAGTCGAATTTTCATATAGGTTTACCTCTAAATTAGGGAGTTATTAACC